CTCACCAAGGCCAGCTGGCCTGGGTCTGAAAAAACCTGGGATAAAACCGGACTCGCTGAACATAGTGGACAATGAGGACTGCTGAGAAGTCAAGAACAATAGCAATGGGTTTTTGATCCTACTACATGTACTGGCTTTGTGGGAGCCTAGGCAGTTTGGATGCTCACCTTACTAGACCTGGATGGAGGTGGGTGGTCCTTGGACTTCCCACAGGGCAGGGAACCCTGATTGCTCTTTGGGCTGACGAGGGAGGGGGTCTTGACTGGGGGAGGGGGAAGGAAAGGGGAGGCGGCAGTGGGGAAGAGACAGAAATCTTTAATAAATAAATAAATAAAAAGAAAAGAAAAAAAACAAAGTAACAGAAAGAGACATTACTGCATTAAGCAATTGCATTTGTGGTTATTTGTTAGAGAAGTTTCAAGGAACACATGACCTTAAGTAAAAAAAGGTAATGTAGTGATTGGAGCTGCAGGGCTGCATCCCCGGCACCCAGCCGCCCACATGGCTAGCGTATGCCCAAAATAATTACATGGAAACTGTATTCTTTTAAACACTGCCTGGCCCGTTATCTGTAGCCTCTTACTGGCTAGCTCTTACATATTAATCTAACCCATTTCTAATAATCTGTGTAGCCCACTAGGTGGCTTACCAGAGAAGATCTTAACCTGCGTCTTTCTGGAGTGGGAGAATCATGGTAACCCCTTGACTAAGCTTCTTTCTCCCAGCATTCTCTTCTGTTTACTCCACCCACCTATGTTCTAACCAATAAAATGAGCCAAGGCAATTTCTTTATTATAATTAACCAATGTCCTTCCTCCATCAAGGTAACAAAATCAAATACTAATTTTATAATAGATAATGGATATCTGCTGTTTATTATGTATTTCATCCAGTTTAGCTATATGTTTGAAAAATTCTAATGAATTAGTTGGAAAAATAAGTAAATGTGAATTCATAAAAGTGAAAAAATGAACAGTAATCTGTAAAATCAGATGGCAATTATTTAATCAATGCATCTTATGAAAATTGACCCTTCATACTTTAGAGGCTAGCATTTTTTTCTCAAATCAATATGCCCAAGAAGCAAAGCAGCCATAGTCCTCTACCTGACTGTTAGCACTTAATATATGTTAAATGGATTATAATGCAGTGGCAATTGCACTCTTGATAGAATTAAATTGCCTGTCTGGCATGAGTTCAAGTGAACTAACCCATGATTGTGGATAATAAAGGTATCATCACCAGTATCACTCGTAAGTTGCAAATCTTGCTGACTAAAGATGAAATAGTTGTTGAAATTATGAGATGCTATTAATTTGTTAATGTGTGAAGAATCTTAGCATGGCTAGAGCACACTAGTCATTCTCACAAGTAGAAAGGGTGGCTTCTGCGTTTTAGTCATCTTGATCAATATTTAAGAATTTATGACAAAAATCAAAATAAGCATGTTTTGATGGTTTCATTAAATTAAGACTTAGCATGTCTCTATGGGAATTTCCAGAGTGGACCATGAATTTTGGTAGAAAGAGCAAACCAAACCTTATCTGTGGTTGTTACATGTGAAAACTGTGGATATTGATAAACTTCACTGCCAGTTAGTTTGCTGCCCACAAACCTTTGTCATTATAGGACAGTTTAACCACCAATGCCTAATGCTATTGCTGCAAGTCTTTCTCTAGCTACCAAGATGATGCTACCTAGAACAGAGCCATTGGAAAGTGCTAGAAATTAACACTCCCCAGGAAACCTCATTAGACATGAATATGGAGGGGGAATGCATATCAACCAAGCTCCTGATGTCTCGGTATATGTAACTGTAGGACATTCTCTTTTTTTTTCAATTGATTTTTATTGAGGTCTACATTTTTCTCTGCTCCCCTCTCTGCCTTTCTTTTCCCCACTTCAACCCTCCCCCAAGGTCCCCACTCTCCCAATTTACTCAGGAGATCGTGTCTTTTTCTACTTCCCATGTAGATCTATGTAAGTCTCTCTTAGTATACTGTAGGACATTCTTGACTTTATCTCGTTTTCCTCCTGAGAAGACACTCTAATATTCTGCAGTACAAATCTTTATGATTTCCCAGACAGACGTCAAGTTCTTCTATTTTTTTCCAAATTCGTATTGGAAATTCTCTTTGATTTGATTACCTCCAAATACTTTGGGATTTCCCTATTTTGAGAGAACCTGAGCCAAATAAATACATAAATAAATAAATAAATAAATAATAACAAAAATCATTCTTCAGCAAAGACTCTGAAAATGCAAAGCTTATTTACAAAATATAGGGGATAGAAAACATTACTATACTAAAGAATCCTGAAAGCCTTGCTAGTTGCTCAACTATCCCTTGTTTATTAAACCAATGACTTAAGTTGGATATGAAATCCACTGTTTCTTTCTTTTCTTTTTTTTTTTTTTTGAAGTTGCTCTGATTGGTATTTTATTTCTCCTTTACAGGTTCCACATAATAGACAAAGGTTTTTTGATAACATATTGTTATCTTTGCTGGAGATGATCATATGATCATTCTAAACAACACAAATGTGTACATACAAGAGACTGAGGTTTCTGCAGCCTATAAACACCTCTTTGGGTTTAAAAAGGAAAAAAGCAATATACGACAATTCAACCGCAACTCTCAGAAAAACACGTTTCCTGACCAAACATGAGCGCCCTGTACATGGACCTATTATCAAAGACAGCAAGGAGCCAGGGGAAGCCAAGAGCAGCTCCTCACACCAGCTCAGAAGACCCTCCCCATCCAGCACCTCCTCAAGGTGCTCCATCTTCATCACAGGAAGATAGCGGTCACCCCAAAAGAAGACAGGAGCAGCAAATAAACATTGTTGTAAAATCTGAGTGTCTTCCACAGTATTTCACACCAGCATCTCAGGAACTCCATGAAAGCATGCGTACCATTCTCTAGATTGCTCCCTTCATTTCTCCAGAAAGGGAACCAGGTCTTCCTAACTGATTTTAGGTGCCTGGGAAAACTAAGTATTTCACCAGAAGGGATATAAGCAATGCTATTTGATAAGAGTAAGAATAAGGAGAAAGCAGCTATCTTAAAGAAAAGTGTGCTCTACTCATACTAAAGTATCAGACCAATGCACAACATACTGCAAAACTGTAATACAATACGGTCAAACACAATGTCAAATATGAAACTGTTCAAGCACATGAAGATCATCTTCGGAAAGACAAGCTGGGTTCTTATTTGTAGCTACCTTTGTGTAACTTTAAAAACTGTTATCCCTCAACAAGGTCTGACACTGATCTTGATACTTGTTAGGAAGTTTGCTATGAGGCAATGGCGGCTCAACAGTCAGGTTCAGAGTTCGCCCGGTGCTCATCTTCAGAATTCATCCGAGGACTGGGCATCATCTTCATCCCTCACTTCTCGGTATCTCCGTGAAGACTCCCCTTCTGGATTGTAGCTCTGCATTTTAATATTCAGTCTCTCAGCTAGTTTCTGTGCTGCGAGCTTTGCCTGCATCTCCTCATAATTCTGCTTCTGTTCTTTCTGCAGGGCCAGTGACTCTTCTATGGAGAGCAGCTGTGCAGGTAGGTGATGGAGCGGAAGGAGGCGCGCTGCTGTGATGTCATCAAGATGCTGCCTAGCCCTGCATCGCTGCTCTTCTGAGGAAGCAGGAGATTCACCCCTCTGACAATGACTTGGTGAGTCACTCTGTTGAATGGGTAATACATTGGTCTTAAACTTATGAGGAGGGGGCTCTGGGTTTTTGGCTCGCATTTCTAGCACTTCCATGTAATGAGGCCTCTTGAAATCCACTGTTTCAAAGCAGAACTTAAACCAATTTCATCAGAAAAGAACGGAAGGCAATGCCATATTTGCTTGAGGACGTAGCTTTGACTAATATAATTCAATGTACTGGATTATTTAGTCAATTTAGGTCTCTGACTTAGTGAATTCAGTGAGTGATGGTAGAAATTTCAGATTCAATATGTGACATAGGACAGAGAAATGAGGCTTTTAGGCATTCACACATCACAGCAGGAAGCGACCCGAGAAGCAGAAGCAGAAGCCCATTCCTCTAAGGAGGTTTTTTTTTCCCCCCCATTGCTGAGAATTCTACTGTGGCTGGGCCACAAAATAAAATCAAAATGTCTAAATTTTTATGTGTTTTTGTTAATTTATGTTGTATATAAAAATAAAACATAAAGAAGGAAGGAATAAAAGAAGAGATGAATAAGACCGGGACAGGAAAAAAGGGAAAATGAGAAAGAGAAATTAACTGAAATGACAGGAGTTGGGATAGAGTAGAGAGTGGGGGATAGAAAGAGAGACAGAGACAGAAAGAGAGAGACACAGAGAGAAAGAGACTTTCAAATATCCTTACCAGAATGGTTTTAACAGCAAGAAGTAAGAACTGAAAAAAAGAGTACAAGATTTCAAAAATAGTAAAGATGAATCTAGAAATAACTTTTATTTTCTGATACCCATATGCTTCTTCAGCTGCTCTGCCAATAAAGAATATTGAGTACATTCTTTGATGAATAGCTAAGAGAACCCTGATGCTGTACTGCCAATCAAATATCAGGGTAAGAATGTGTCTGTGTGTTTTTGTGTTTACATGTGCATTTACATGTACTCTATATAAGGATACAATATAAATATAGACTTTTTATATATTAATTAAATTAATGCTATCTTCACCCAAATGCACAAGCGTGGCATGTGGCATGTGTGACGATGGCTTTCTTATACAAAGAAAATGAAAGAGTTACAGTGTGATCCTATATCTACATGGTTGCAACTGTCATTTCAGTGATCCCACTCTCTAGCAGATTTTTAAAAAGAGAACTGTAATATCTAGATATTTATTATCTTTGGGTTCACTCAAGAGACAGTCTACATTTGTCTATTTTTTCTTAAAAGACAATTAAACTCAAGGAAAGTAGGGAAGAAGGAACTGTGTAGAAAGCCCAAATGACCTTTAAAACAGAAACAGCTGTTGAGTTGCACTGACGTTGACCGAACACCAACTGATTTCTCAGGTGGATGGACTTCGGAAGTCATGGAGGATGTTGTCTCATAGTTAGAAAGAAATACAGGGATAAAACTATAAGGAATAATTTATATCAGAAAATTTACAAATATCATTTATCATAAAATGGCACTCTGATTGCATCTCCTATGAATATAGCTTCAAAATTTCTGTATGTAATTAAAAATATCTAAAGACAGCTCCTTTTAAGGATTCACTATTTAAAATGTTTTTAAAACTCAATTTATACGTAATTTTTGGGGCAGTCTACCCATAAACTTTTAGTTTTATCTTAATATTCTTTTATATAAAAATTGTAGCTATGACCATATTTCTATTTTCTTATGTTTATAATTGTATATAAGAAAAGCCAAAAGAAAAAACAAAGATACAAATAAATTTTGACTACAAGCAAAAATAGAAATTTAAGACTTCTCAAATGAATGACACTGATTCAAGATGAAATATTGTCTTAGAGAATTTAATTAGTTAGCCATACATAATTGGGTATTGACTGTTTTAGTTAGTGACTTTTTAATTCATACTGTATTTCTGTTCAGCACTACTGGTAACACAATTTTCCAATCTTAATTTTTAACTTAAAATTCCTGGATAATTTTATGTCAAGTATACCATGAAGTCATATTTTCCTTCAAAATCTAAGATTACTTCATAGCATCAGTCTGAGTTACTACATTTTAATTAGCCATCTGTAATTTGACAGACCCATTTGAATGAAGAATATCTTCAGTAATAAGGCTATCCAGTCTCTTTGTGTGTGTTTTCTGAGACAAAGGCTCTGAAGTAAGCAGTTTATTTGGAAATGTGATTTTAGGAAGATGAGAGGGCCTTAGAGAGGAAAGGATAAATCAGAAAGTTGATCCAAAAATGTGTTAGCAAAATGATCTTGGGCCAAAATTTCTTGAGCCAGGGGATTTTTAAAGAAGCCTTCTGTTATGTCTCAGAACCACTACTACAGAAAGGAGAAGGAAGTAGTTTATCTGTTGGTTTACCTTATACCACATAAATAAAATGGATTTTTAAATACAAAGTCTACCTTAAAATATATATATTCACTGACAGGAGAATATTTGGCATAGAGTCAGAGGACCTACTTTGCTTATTCTAGGCACCATAAGATTGCAACGAGGCTAGGAAATAAACTACTCATGGAATTGTCCACAATAACAGTAGCTGGGATGAGATATGAGGTCATGCTTACCGGAGACCACTTAAAAGAAGTAATTTCCTATCATTCAAGTACAGAAATCTTAGAATATTTGTTTCTACAAGTAAGACAAGCAGAAGACAGTCCTATTTTCATATAGAACAAAAAAAAAAAAAACCATGTCTAGCGACATCCAAGGAATGGTATCCGAAAGCTGGAGAGTGGCATTGAGGGATCACATGTTCAACTGCAAATGCAAATCCAAAAGAGTGAATATGAAGTGGTGTGAGGCAAGGAGATCTTAAAGTCATTCCCAGGGATGTATTTCCTAAGGTAAACCCACAATACTGTAAAGTTCCTAACTTCCTAAACATACCATTAATTAGGGATTGAGTATTCAAATACATAAATCTATTTGGTATATTTCCCATTCAAAATACAGCATTACTTATAATAACAATTATGTTAGGCAGACTTCACTCCCAAGAAGTTATTGTCTTCAAAATAGTACAAGGGACCTAGTATAAAACATTAAAAACAAGATCTTAACAAAGAGGATATTTTAGATTCACATCATAATAGAAGGCCATTCTACTGACCATATTTTATCCATTCTTTCTGTTTAATATTATGCCACAATCTGAAAATTACTGAGTGATTGAGATACAAACAATGAAAGATTTCACAGTCTCATTGAAGAGACAGGTGCTAAATTCAAAATTATAGCTCATAGTAATAGCTTATTGATGTTGACATACTTTCCAAATGTATCTCAAACAATATTGAGGCATGCAATAAGATTTTAGTCAATTGATGTTTTTCTTTCAAATGTACTACAATGAGAAGAACAAAGCCAGTATATCTCACTGTGGGAAGATATTAATAGATATTTACATGGCTAATAAGTTTTGTAGCCTCTGAAATCGTAAGAGGGTAGTTGGATTTTTTCCTTGATCTAATTAGCTTAATAAAACCAGGCAAGTTCTATATGGCAAAAACTGGAAACACATATCTTGGTATTATGTGAACTAAATTAAAGGAAGAAGGACTGTGTTCCTATAATCTTCCAAATTCCATATGAAACCACATTTTCTTTGTATGATAACATGTGCTAAAGACAGAAGAGAAGAATGGAGAGGACAGGGTAGCTATAAGGACGATGGCAGGGAGGAAGAATAGGAGAGAATATTTAGTTTTGATTTTGGATAATTTTCGACATGTTTATTTTAACAAAAATCTTTATAATTTTATGTTTACATTCAGAAAAATGATTCAAAATGTTGCTTCTCTACCAAAAAGGGTATCTATGATGATACTTTATTTGTTCTATCAAGATGTAAACAAGTGTGTGTTGCCTTAATCATATATAAATATGCACAACACAAATGCTTATATAGACACAAACATATGAATAATTACAAACTGCATAGCAGTGTCTACAAATATCAGCAGATTCTAAAATTATAAGTGCTCCTTTCAGTATGATAATCATTTATAAGTATTTTCAAAATGAAGAGCTCAAAGAAATTATCCCATCCCTTAAAAATGTGAGACTAAGTCCAAAGTCTAATAAAGCATAGTTTATTGAATGAATTATTTCAGTTGGTATTTCTTTTATATTGCTTTGATGGGCAACTTTTTAAAAAAGGAAGCATTTGTTCTCACAGTTATATTATTCAATTTTTTGATGGCTTCTCATTCATCCCCATTTGCTCAGACTCAAATTGACCACACAGAAACTGTATTAATCGAATCATCGCTTGGCCTATAAGCTCTAACTTCTTATTGGATAGCTCTTACATCTTAAACTAACCATTCTTCATTAATCTGTGCATCAGCACGAGGTCATGACCCACTGGCAAAGTTTCAGTGGGTTCCAATTGAGGCATCTGTCTTCTGTGGTAGCTACATGGCTTCTCCTTGACTCGGCCTACTCTCTCCCCACAAGATTTTTGCAGCTAAAGCTGAGTCAGGAAGCCTCTCTTAAATGAGATGTGCTTGCCTCTACCAAACCAAATCTACCCGAGAAATGCTGCAGCCAAGAAGCTGTGCTTAACTCTGTTCTTTGTGTCTAGAATTCCTTCCCAAACTCTCTCAGGTTTTAAATAGATTTAGTTGTCCATGATGGGTTCCATTTTGTTGGTGGAAACTGCTCATTTGTTCCTGGCTGCCAAGACTCAAATTAACCACACAGAAACTGTACTAATTAAATCGCTGTTTGACCTATTAACTCTAGATTTTTATTGGCTATCTCTTTGGAGGAATTTTTATGCATGTGAAAAATATTCATTGGAAGCTCCTTATTTGATAGTAGGCCCCATTAAACATTTCTTTCCACTTTAGTTATGTGTACATGTGTACTGTGAAGGGGAGTATATGAACATGAGTGGAGTGCCTGCTGAGGTCATAAGAGGGTATCCAATCCATCCCCAAGGAACAGGAGTTACCAGTGATTTTGAGACACTTGATGTGGGTGTTGGAAGGTAAACTTCAGTCCTCTGGAAGAGCAGCAATAGCTCTTAAGGACTACTTTATTTCTCCAAGTCCCTGGTGCTATTTCTTTCTAATGGAATAATTAAACAAATGAAGATTACATAGTCTGTCTTGTTCCCTGA